GTGTGTGTGTGTGTAGCATTACGAGCGTATTACAAAATGTATTTTATCTTCATCGATTGCCAGAATTTATATCTTTTTTCATGCCACATCAGCGTTTTATGTGAACACCCGCCCACCCACGCCGCCCCCTTGCTACAGAAGTTGAGGTTATGTATGTGCTGACAGCTACAACAACGAACATATGCCCCTCTCTCTCTCACACACACACACACACCCACTGTCTGTCTGCCTGTGTGTGTGTGATAAATCAGCTGTTCGAAGCCTGTGGCTAAAGCGAATGAAATGATGCATAAGTTGGATAAGAAGAGATTATGAAATCAAAAGAGTTTATAAACGGAATTAAGCAGAACGGCTTTGGTGAAAGAATCCAAATAAATCTCAATGTTTGAGGGATAAACATATGTACATATATACATATATATATCTTTTTGTAATCGGTTATATAAATTATATATATTATTTGCGAGAGCTTCAAAAGCAATTTTAAAGATTTACTAGATATTTAAAATATTAACAAAAGAAATATAAATATTAAAAGTCCTGGAAAGAATATTTGATATAAAAATATAATTTATGCTATTAAATTTAATTCATTTATCTATTTTCTCTTATTTCACTTATTTAAAATTTATAATCGAATATATTAATCAAATTTAATTTGTATAGTAAAAATTTTAAATCTTGAAAATTACTAGAAGTATTTAATATTTAAATTATAGATTGACTTATAATATATTTCCTCACATAATCTCACATAATATAGTTCCATTTATATTTTATTAAATCTTTATAGCTATAAAACCTTTGTAATTAATTTTAAAATATCCAAGATTATTTTATACTAAAACATAATTTCTTTAATTAAAAAATTGTAATTAATATTTGCATCCCAAATTCTAATCTAGTTCACTTTCCCTTTGCCATCGCCAACAATTTTCATTTGACTAACCCAAAACGGCGACAGTCTTTGGCATGCAATCATGTTTGCCAATTATGCAAATGCTGCCCACTGTGCGGCACTGTGGGGCATAACTTCGTAAATACTCCAAACACTTGGCTTCGTGTTTACCACAATTTACTGCGACTCGAGTTAACACAAACAGCAAAACTTCAGAAAATAAATGCACATTTTTTGCCACATTTCCGGAGAAGCAGAACTCTCGCTCTGCCACACCCCCAGCGCCCAGTTACCGCAGTACAACCAGTTTACCATCCTGGCCGACGAAGAAGACGACGAGGACGACGGCGACGGCGACGACGACGACGACGTCGTTGTCCTGACAGCTCCGGCCAAGTTGGGCCACAATAAAGTCGAAGAAACGGGTCGGAGAGGTCGCAGCTTGCCATAAGCCAAATATGTCTGTGTCTGGGTAGCTGTCTGTGTGTATATATATGTATATGTATGTATTTATGTATGTGTGTGGGTGTGCGACGAAAGTGTGGCAATAAAAAGGATAATGTAACTGTTATTCTACGCAAAACGGAAACGGCTGTGTGGCCAGAGGGTCGAGCTACCCCCTGACAGTCGCTTGGCAAGTGTTTGAAATATTTTTGTGGCAAAGGTGGCAACTAACGGAGGGGGCGCGCCGGCGGTGCGGGGGCGTGTCGACTGGCTGTGGATGTGGATGTGGGCGCAAAAGTGAAAAGCACAACCGGAGTCGTAGCTGCTGTGAGTGACTGAACAAGTGCCAACGAGGAAACGACTGTCAGTGGCTGCAGGCGGCGTTGGGTAATGGGAGATGGTAGATGGTAGATGGTAGATGGGAGGGGGCGAGCTGGGAGTGGGCGTCGTTGGTCGGGGTCGATTCGGGTTGATAGGGCCGAGAGCGAGCGGCCCCTGTCGAGAGTGCAAAAGAGCGAAGCCGGAAAATTGTGTGGAAATTTGAGCTTCTTTTGAAATTGAGGCCGGAAATGGTAGCCCGCCCGCCTCCCCTCGCCCACCCCGCACAAACGACCACAGCATGTGAGGTGTGAGAGCGAAAGAGAGAGAGAGACTGAGTGAGTCACAGAGAGGGAGAGAGAGAGAGAGAGTGTGAACTGAGAGTCAAGCCGACGCGCAGAGAGCGTGCCAATATGTGCAAGAGCGAGACTGAAGTGGGTGTGCGAGCGAGATGGCAGGCGCGCCGCTTGTTGTGTTAAACAAAATGTTTGCGGGTGCAATAAGCGTAAATTCAGTGGTTTTATGTTTACTTATTCAGCACGAAACCACCCAACCCCACTCCTACACACACACACATACATATACACATTCACACTAACTGACTGCCTCGACCGATTGGCACGGGGACAATTATTTGATCCACACCATCTACGTAAGGAGATGCGGTGGGTGTGGGGGGTGTTATGGCAAGAGGAAGCCCCCAATAGTCGAGACGTGTGTGGTGCGGGCTGGTAATATACTTTTGCAAATCGATGCCAACTCCTTAAACGATGGGTGGCACGAGCTGGGTGGGTTCTGGGTTCTGGGTTCTGGCTCGTGCTGGGCCATGGTGAAGGGCGCACAGCGTAGGGCGGAAGCGTGTGGCATGTTGAATGCTCTTGAGTGTTTTCGTATGGTTGACAGGATAACACGAAGTAATTCAATTCGAAATACTTTATGCTGTTGCTTTTATTATTTGTGCTTGTGGGACTCTCGTCTGTATGTTTCATTTCGTTTCGTTTCGTTGCGGCCCGTCTCGTCCCGTCTCGTTTCGTTTCTTCTCCTTACTTTTGCTCGACTCGTTTCGGTTGCTTTCGCTTCTTGTTGTCGGAAGTGGCATTTGTGGTGTGGGTGGCGGGGAGCTGGGGGGTATTGTTGCTTCATAAAAAATGGTGTGCAAAGTTACACACAGTTTCCTTTTCGGTATGCGTGTGTGTGTGTGCGTCTGTCTGTGCGGTTTCTCTGTTTATTTATTTTTATGATGTTTCCTTTTTGGCATTTTATTGAAGAAGTTTACCGACGCCATTGCTGCTGTTGCATAAATAAGTGAGTGGCATGGACATGAGAGACTACTATACCCCACACCACCTCACCACCCCACCCACTCAGCCCTTCGTTTAACCACCCAACACACACACACTGTAAACTGTTCGACCAACATCTTTTGCAATTCATAAAAAAATCAATATTTATTGCAGACGTTGTCGAATGCCCCACCGAACCACCTCAGCCCAACCACTCGACGTGCACCGCCCAGTTGCTCCAACAATTTGCGGTCTTCGCTTGTTATTGAGCATTTAATCAGTTGATTTCTTATTCAGTTTTCTGTTCAGTTCATTCCCAGCATTTTCCTTTCTGTTCAATTTTTTATGATCCCTTCATGAAAAGGGACCGTTAGTTTTGCAAATTGATTGCGCAGCAAACTAGGGAAATGCAATTAGGAAAACTTTTTTTCCCTGAGCATTGGATTTATGTAAACTTACAAATATTATGAATAGAAATCGCTGTGCAAAGGCACTAATTAAAATATATCATATTTATGCTCAACTTGGGCAGGGCAAGTAAAGAAATCAGCAACGAATACAGTTAATCTATGTGATACTCAATATAGATAAATTGATGAATAGTTAGGGCATATATGTAAGATATAGGGCTGATTAGTCATGGCTTTTTATTTGAGCTATAAGTTTCACTTCGATAAAAGTAATTGATAAAGTGATAAATCAAGTTTTTTAGTTATTTATTTTATCCTAGAAGGACGTGAAGTGATATAGTATATATAGTATATAAGAAGCGTTCATCATATGCACTTTTCAGTTAACTTTTAATATAACGAATATAATATAACAAATTCTTGTTGAATTTGTTCTTGAAATGAGTTTATAGTTTTAGAAGTCCTGAACCATATTTATAATTCAATTAAATAGTTCACTAACTTTATTCATGAATTGTATGTATTGGTAAATCGCTCATTAACAATTTATATTATTCAGTTATAAAAATGTTGAACAGCCTAATAAAATCCCAGGAAATTATCATTTAAGAATATCAGACCTATGATTTATGAATAACTTAGCAAGGGCTGCTTATCTATTATACCTCAAGAATTTTATTCACTTGAAATTGATCAGATTTAATTAACTTCAAATACAAAATTCCACAAAAAATGTTTTGAATTTTTTTTTTTTTTTTTTTTTTTTTGTGTGAGCATAAAGTGAAAATAGAAAAACAAATTTATTTTATACTCATAAGGCATAAGGTCAAGGCATATAACAAACAAAATTGGCAAAAGCAGAAACAGAGAAAAGACAAATCAGACTATATACAGAAGCATAGAGAATGCAACTGCATTAAAATATTTGGCTATTTAAACTAAATATAATTTATAATATATAATAAACATCAATATTGAAAAATCAGGGAGTAATTTATATATGGAACATATACCAAAACAATAAATTATAGTTGCATATCTATACAACATTAGGTATTATGTCAAGAGAGATAATTTCAAAATATTACCCAATAATTTAATTAATTATTTCTTGATACTTATAGTATCTTCGATAAATAAGTATTTAGTATTTAAAAAATATAATTAAATAAATACAGATCAATTATTAAATAAAGTTCATTCAACCTGTTATCAACCGCACATCATTTATCTTTATAGATAAGAAACTTGCGGTCTTTTCTAGCTCTGTCTAATCTCACTCATAAATTCAATTCGCAAACATGCATAATATCTGGTAATGCACTCCTCGCCAAGATTCCCAACAAATGCATTTGAACTTTGAACTTGCAAGCGATGCGCACATGGGGAAACTCGGTAAATTGGGGACCCAGTTTGTTGACAAAGCTAAACGCTTACCGCTAAGACTATTACGGCATGGGCATCGAGCTCATCAATAGGTAGAGAGCAGGGGCTGGGCGTACGGTTAAGTGAAACCAATTGAAGTTTATTGACGCGAATTGGGTTTCACTTGAACCGGGCACCTCGAGACGCTTAAAATGCGTTTCACATTACCAAATGCAGGCAGAGAAACATAGAGACATAGGGAGAGACAGCGAGAACGCTTACCTTCTTTAGACTTTTCGTATTGCTTTGGCGACGTTGTCTTCTTGCTTGGAATGGGCCTCAGTGCGTTACTCATAAGCTGTGGGGATTACAAATGCATTGACATAAGGTTTTCCATTGCTGACGTTGGTTATTTTTGTACTCACGACGCGATCAGAACGTTCGCCGCAGGGCAGACGAGCCACTGAGACATCGGGACTGTCCTCCGGTGGCGGCGGCTGGGGCACCCAGTTGTAGGCCCGCCTAGAGATGGGCACCCCAAAGCGATCATGCTGCGACGCCTGTTGCCTGTGAAAGTGGAAGTGGAAAGAATTAGTTATATGTGCTTAATGGGACTTTGATATAATCTCTTATCTCTTACCTCAAGCTCTCATAGCAGTCCAGGCATACCACGGCGTATTCTCCATTCTCTAGCAAAAGTCCATCGTCGCTCTTCTGATGCTTAACGAACGGAAACTCATTGACGGGCAGCGCTCGCACCCGCTTTCTATAAGTCGTAATGCCGCACAAATGGCAATTGTAATCATGCCAATTGTATTTTCTATCCGCTGGATTAACGCTGGGACTTTGAGCTTCATATCTGCGCAGCAAGATTTGGTTTATGAATTTTATAATATTTATATTGAAATTATCGAGAACTCACTTGCGCCACTGATTCAGCATGGAATGATAGCAAAATGTGCAGACTAGAGCTGAATTGTTTCTCAGCTGTTCGGCATTTGGCAACGAATTGTGCTTCAGCAACAATGGAAAATAAGGTCTTGAGCCCTGCAAGCAAAGGAAATTGATTAGAATACTCAATTTGAAGATATTAACAAATTTGATAAGAATAATGTTGAATTAATATAGTATACATATTATCTTAATATTTACTTAAGAGAGACAGAGAGAGAGAGAGAGAGAGATAAAGAGGTGAAATAAGCAAAAAAAAAACAAAAACTTTTTATGACAAATATAACAAATAAATTGCTCATACCTATCATAATCATCACAATTTCGATACATATAACCGAATTAATTTAAATATTAATTTCTAGATTTATTCTATGTATGCATGTTCAATCTTTGAGTACATACAACAAATCATATAGCATAAGTTTAGTAAACATAGTTGATACTCTCTTTAAACTAAATACATCAATATTAAATATATTAATGTAACAATATAAAAAGTTCTGATTTCATAATATGCTAAATGTTATATTATATTACCTAAATTCATATTAATATACAAAAAAAAGTCCTGCTTTCATACTAAGTTACATATTATATTATACTACTTTATATTATACTTCATACAAAATAATTACAAAAAAGATTTTAAACTTTTTGTAATACTTTTACATATATCTCGAGATAATATTAATTGAATTTACATTTTAAACACGAATTTAAGTTATATACTTGGATTTTTCAAAGGTTCAACAATATTTGACCAAGAAAATGTTTTTGAGTGAATTTCTGAAGGAGAAGATAATCATTTTAAAAGATGACATAGACATATGGATGACTTAGGATACCAAAATTTCACTCTAACCATTCTATTCACTAACACTAACACTATTCATACTGAATTTACCAATAAATTCAACCAACAATTTTTCAAATAATTAACCTTTAGCATCATATCTAAATCTATACTGTTTAATACATTAATTATTTGGTATATAATTACAGCTCTGATTGAAATCTGTACTGTAAATAGTCATAATTCAAATTATTCCAGCTCCTCGATAATACTTGCTGCTCCATTATAATACACTTTCACAATTTGTATAATGACTTCTCTAATTCTTAATTATTATTATTCTGCTTAGTATGTTAACTGTTCATTAACATAATTTTCAACAATTTATCTAATGCGAAATATTATTTTCTACAATATTAAAATCTGTTACATATACTCTCATACTTTGTATAAGCACATAATTGCAAATCAATAATTTGCGTACCAGCCTAACCGAAAGATTAAACGCTGTTCTAATTATATACTTATATCTAAGCATACTTTATATGATTGGAGCTTCAACGCTATCTAACAAACTGATATATTTATTTATCTAATTATTTGTTTATGTATGGGTTATTTTTATCAATTCCAATTTTGCAATCTTATCTTTACAACTAGAACAACATTTGTAAACGTGTTCCATTCATGGGGATTAAATATAAGCTAGCCTACTTACAATACTTGATATTAACGGATCTTAACAATAAAAGAACAGTTGACAGCACTCGTAATAGTTAATTATAAATATTTGCAAGCGTACCTAATAAGTTAATATATTATGAATTTTGTAATGGCTAGAAATAAATGTCGACCTTGAGCTGTGCACTATAAATAAATTATATATATTTATTTATCAGTAACAACAGATTATTTGCCTCTGTTTATATTCAAGTTATTGTTGCTTCTATTGGTTATTAAAAGTATCACATCGAAATTCAATATCATATAGGTGTTGGTTATTTAACTATGACAGTTCCTAAAGAAGTATCAAATGACACAATTCTTATATCCAATAGAAAGGTCGATCGTTTACTAAAATTTTGTGTATATTAATATTTTGATAAGTGCCTAATTTCGATAAGAGAACCGAAACATATTAAATTATATTTTTGTCTGCATATTCTCAAACTCGAATAATTGATTATTAAGGTATGGATTTTTGTTAGTGTTTTTAGATATTTAAATGAATTTCGTTATCAGTCTATTTTTCTTGATTGTAAAAATTACGAGCTTTGATTAATTGAAATCAAAATCAATATTGAATAATGCTCAACATTATCTAAGATAACAAAATTCTTTAAGGTTCAAGTTTCCAGAAATAATATTGTTTAAAAATAATTGTTCATTTTCTTCATTTGCTTATATACAATTTAAAACAATTTAGTCAATGGAAATAAATATCTTGAAATTAAATTTGCATAGTAACATTCTTAAGTCTTGTTAGCATAGCCAGCTTAAATAATCTCGAAGAGCCTACGTATTATGGCACTATGATTAAGGCTACAATAAAACTAAGTAACATTAGGATAGATAACAGGTTCTGAGCAGAATTCAATTGAAAAGCTTATAATTTTTGCGTCAAACTTATCTCTGTCAGCTTGAATAATTTACAGAATTTGTGCTTAACTTAAACTGACCTAATTTACTTAAACTAATGACGTCATTTAATATTATTCTCTCTCTCTCTCTCTTTTTACCTCTCTCTTAAGATATATCTTAAGACAGTTTTACCTCTTTGCTGCCGTATAGAATTCTGGCTAGTGTTAGATCCGAGTGCAGGCCACAGAGGAAACAGTAGATTGATGTGCTGGCTGGCGTTGACGAGGAGACCGAAGGTGTTGAGGGCGGCGTACAGGTGCTCATGGCGCCGTGGCGAGATCCATTCGGCGAACTGGAGCTCAGCATGGGCGAGGGTATTTTGTATCTGCAAGGCAAGAGCAATACATTAGTTTCCATTTTAAAATAGATTCAAAATTCATGTAATGAAACCTTCTGTGCTCCAATGGAACACGCTCCGCATCCATTGATTCCCACTGGCTGGTTAAGTAGTTGATGCAATCCTTGCAGGCTAACACACGATTGTTATTCAGTTCGTTGTTATTATTGTTGTTATTATTATTATTGTTGTTGTTGTTGTTGCTAAGACCATTACTATTGCTGCTGACATTGCCCTTGAGACAGGGAAAGTGCATGGCATGCGAGTTCATGTGCTCGGCGCTAGTATAGAGCCAATCCATTTTATTGGACGGCCAGAGAACTTTGCAAATGGAGCATCTGGGGATGGACAGAGATATATGTCTATTAGTAAGGAGTTCGAATAATTAACGTACAACAACTTACGGATACTGGGCGTGGCCATTCTCGATATGTCCCTGGGTTGAGCTGGGCGAACTGGGCCTCGAGTCGTTGCGTCGGATCTGCTTGAAGTCGCGCGCCGTATTTGAGTTCGAATTGTTCGAGCAGGTTTCGTACGGCTGTAATAGAGAGGTTGATACATTTAATAAAACTAAAAATCAAAAAAATAAAATACGTAGTTGTAGACATAAACAGAGCGACGACGCACATGCGAAACGCGTCGTGCGCAACTTATCTAATCAAATGTTATTTAATATTTCATACAATTGATATTCTCTTCAAGAGCCACCACTCGAATCGAGTGCCCTTTCCAACCGCTTTGAGCCGCTTCGAATCCTCCTTATCGCCTCTACACCACATTTCGCTGTATGAGTGCCGACCGATCGTAGAGTACACACTTCTAATCAGAGTAAGCATTACGCTTACCTTGCCTAGGCTTACAGCGAGTACCTCTTCCGATAGATGGCTTCAGCTTTTTGTTTTTCGAATGTTTTTTAGACTCATTCACGAAAGTGAAATGAGTATATTGGTTTTGTGCAATGTCCGTCTTGCTGTCCGTCCGTCTGTCCGTCTGTCCGTATGAACGCAATCTATTTCGGCGCTATTGAAGCTAGAGACTTGAAATTTGGAACACATACTCGTGTATATCTCCGATTTATAAAGTGTTAAAATTTTCCCGATCCGCCTACTAGGGGCGTGGCAAATCGGAAAATGCATTTTCCGATATACCAGAAATCATGTTTGTTGAAGAGCTAGAAAGCTGAAATTTGGTATGTAGGTCCGCGCCAACCACCCAAGATCACAAGCTATGGCGGATATATCTCCGCCCATTAGGGGCGTGGCAAATCGGACAAAACTGTATCTCCTAAAGTTATAAACTTAGAATGCTGAAATTTTGCACGTAAGCTAATGTTTTAATTCTATGAAGATGGGTGAAAAAATTATATATCTACGCCCACTAGGGGCGTGGCAAATCGAACCTGAAGATATAGTGATTTTTCGAATTCTGCTATATTTTAGGCACTATTGATGCTAGAGATCTGAAATTTGGTATATATACGCGGGTTGATCACCCAAGTCCAACCAGCTATGGTAGATATATGTCCGCCTATAGGGGGCGTGGCAAACCGCAAAAGTTTATATCTCCTACAGTTTAAGAGCTAGAAGCTTCAAATTTGGATAGTTAAGTTACTGGTGGCCTCCTCTATCGATGCCCCAAAAATAATTTTTAAGCCTCTTTAGGGGCGTGGCATATCGAAAAATACCCTGTAATTTTCACATTTTTTGAGCGTAAGAATTCAAATTTTGCATTTAGGTAACCGGTTGCTCGTTCTAAGAACTGGCTAAAATTGAGGAGTCGACGGCCACTAGGGGCGTGGCAATCGGCATTTACAGTGCCCGAATTGCGACATTTATATGCGTCAGTCATCTATTTATGTATATGTACACATAAGTAGGCTTATAGGCATTGATAGCACGGAAGGAAACATTTTTATAAAATTAATAAAATATAAAAAAGCTAAAATAACAAAAATTTGCAATTTACAAAAAATTGTTTTCAGCGGGATTTGAACTCGCACCCAACCCAAACAGCATGTTTGTCAAAATAGCTAAAATAAAGACCGCCGGCGCTTCAGCCTACAGCACCACCGCGTCGTTTCGATCAATAGTAGTTAAAATGAAATCACATTATTGTTATGACGCCACATAGCAAAGAAAAGCCAGTGTAGCGGCTGGAAATTCAAAAACAATGCAAAGACAAATCAATCGCAACGGGATTCTTAGAATATGCTAGAGCACGCATTTATGTGTACATACATACACACATACAAATGAGCGCGTGTATAAGGCTGGAATGCTTGATGCTATGCGCGCAGGCAAACATATATAATTATATATACATATGTATGTATTTGCGTATATGTATTTGAGGGCTATTTAAGAAGAACAAATTTAAACTTATAAAATTATTCGACTAAGAAAATGAAAAGTATTAAGTGCCATTCAGTCAAGCTCGCACCTTCCCAATAAAATATCTATTTTATAAAAAACGAAATATGTATGAAAAAAAAAAAAATAATAATAACATAGTAGAGGTTCGAACCTCCCCTACTCTAACATTACTTGCGTCGCCCTTAGCACCCGCGCCACTGCTCTGCTCAAGCAGTCAGTTGCTAAAATAGAATAGATTAATAAGAGAGCGTCATCAGACAAAACTACAGTAACGGCTAGAAAGTCCAGAAATCAATCGAAATTCTAAGAATGTGAGAAAAGGCGCGCTTCTGTCTGTACGCATAGAATAGACGATGAGTGTGTGCACAAGCATAGGAAAATCGCGCTGATCTGCTGTTAGCTTGAAGCCGGTATCCAATGTATGGATATAAATACATATATAATAAAAATCAAAATTGTATAAATTATATATGTATGTAATTTGAATGCAATAGCTATCGATGATTTTCCAATTTTAATGGCAAAATGCCGTGTTTTTTGCTGCGCACTAGACTTGAAAATTGCACTATATACTCTGGTTGACAGCGTTTGGGCTGTGAATGAGTCTTCTGCAATCGGTATCGCCCGACTGCAACGTTCTTACTTGTTTTTTTTTTACTTTTTGTTTCTCTTATCAGTACAGCTGGAATAATATTACTTTAGCTGACCTGAACCGGTTTTACCCCCCAAAAAAAAAAAAACAATTAAAATTTGTGGATGATGAATTATAGCTGATTACAAGTTTCAGTCACTTTCCGGCGATATAAATCACAATTTGATTGAGTATCAACTAATGATCTCTAAGCTGATAAACTCCCTTCAAACTGTAAGTTCAATTTAACTTTAACAAATTCATTTAGAATTTATGGCTAGATTTATTTCTATGCTATTTGTATATTTAGCAGAAGTTCGAATTAATTTAAAGTCCAGTTTAGATCTAGAACTATCCGCTTCTCAGTTCGCCAGTATATGTTGATTTCACTTTCAAATTGATATCAGGTATAAGTAGTTTAAAGTAATCTAGAGGGTATACCAGAGTCGTGTATACTCTGCTTTCTATATCAAACTTTCTTTTTTTTTTACCAATAATAATACTCATTTCTGCAGATGATTTTATTTACAGCTCTATTGCTACTGCAAACTCTTTCCTCCATTTCAAGAGCTTTCATCTTCGAACTGCTCGTAGGCGCCGCAACATTTTCAAGAGCACGCCCACCCCCACAATGACTCGGCAATTGAATGTGTGCCAAACTCTTCTGGCTTTTCAAATACTCATCCAAACAAGTGCCATTAAAGCGTAGCTTCCAAATGTTTTCAAAGTGCTAAACAGTTATTCTTCTGAATCGCTCACCTAAAGTTTGTATATGTATATGATGTTCAAATTCTCAAAAGTACGATGATTTTTTTTTTTTTTTGTGACTAATCTGCAAACTTTAGAAACATCAGAGAATAGATAGATAGGGCTTCTCTTGAAAACCTATACTTGAGATGATCTCAGCTGAATGATCTATTAAAATATATATATATGATAAAATATAAATATTATATATATTTTTGTTATAAAAGTTTTTCTAGCTAATCAATTTTACTCGGATTTACTGAGATCTACTGATATTTGTGCCAATAAAAACACATTCTCTGATTATTATTAAAAGTAGCATTATTTAGGGAAAGTAATACTATTTAGTTCACAAGTCTACTCAACATCGATCTATGTATTGCATGTAATAAGAGATAAGAGAGCAAATCTCTTTCAATCCCTTTGTGGGTACTTCAAATATTTATCAGAGACAGGTTCTATGTCTGGCATATTGCATGACATCATTTTACTAGCTAAACAATAAACTAAATTACAATATATCATATACACTCTGCTGGGTTGCACAAGGTAAACCTAATCATGGCCTCTATGACGTTGAACGCGTACTATAAAAGTGATATAGATATGGATAAATAGGTGTGCGCCGTTGTTTATATTTGATTTAGCATAATGCTCTAAATGACATGGCACGCAGCTATTTGCGCAATATATTATCACACTTTAATTATCTGTTATCTGTTAAGAAAAAAATTGAATGCAAGAGCTTCCCCATATACCATATATAGTATATATGGTATTGTGACAGCTATATGGAGACTCCGCCCACAGTTCTATTGATAACTCACTCGTTCGCTTGCATTTATCTATATTTCATTTGTTTCCTCTCTTTGTGAGCTCTGACCTTCGGCTATCAGGCTCTTGAGTTAAGAATACATTTATGCACCTGATAAACAAAGATAAACAAGTTTACTTTTTGGCTAACTGGGGCAAAGGTTTTTTGTTTTTTTTTTTTTCATTGCGCGCTCTGGCACCTGTTTAAAGATAATAATTTTTTTGTTTTTTTTTCGGCTCAGCTAAACAATTATTTGCACGCCCAAAGACAATTTCAGCGTTGCAGACACGCGAAGCAAACAAACTACAGATAAAGAGAGGAAGAACTGAAATCACCAAAAACAAGAAGAAAAGTTAAGTAAACCAAGTATTTATTTTGCAATTGTTTTAGAAGTCCAATAGACAAGATGTTTGTAGATGTTGTCATATTTATGAACGTCGATAAACTCACCCAAGGCTGCTAATAGAATGAGTAGCTACAAAAATATGCAGGTACTATACATACTACATATGTAACCTACATACATAATATAATATTTATCACATATCACATATCACATATAGAGGCAATTCCTAATTTAATAAATTAGATAATTCAATAAATTAGAGTCACCTATCGTTAATTATCGATATTTTAGCATTATCCCATTTGATTCCATTTCAAAAGATAGTCAAACTTACATTTTCAATATAATATCGAAGCTTTATGCTTGTATTTCAGTTTCAAGAACTTGATTTATATATATTTATAGGATTTTTGAGATTCTATGAAAGACATATTTTTTTCATAGAGAAAACTCTATGTTTTAAGAGTGCTTGCAGAAAGTTTCCCTGCTGATTGTCAAATGAATCACATTTATGACAAGATACGAAAACCCATTTAACTGATACAAATTGTATTTTGGAAGATATGGTCATGTTATTTATAAGAATAAAAAAATAGATATACCTTCGCCGATAACTTGCACTTCAAGTGCCAAACTCAAGATTGATTGAATAAAATATAAACTGCTGCACGACTGCTGCTTAATCATGATAATCTATGAAATTGGCAATTTCGAACCGAATCAACAATCAATTAAGAACTAAGGAAAGCCATAAATAGCTCGAAAGCAGCTGAAATAATTTACGGCTGTCTTTCAATTAACTTGGCTGTCACTAAATATTTCTGGAAACTTGAAACTAAAGTTTAATGTATTCAACAAAAAAAAAGTGAAAAAATAATAAATAAAAGTAAGAATACTAAAGGAATAGCAAAATAATAAATAAACTACTCAAAGCAAAGCAAACAAAAAAATTGAGGAGCTATAAATAAACGGGTGAAACCAGTTTGGGGCAGATGTCTACGGACCGACAGGCCAGTCCAAGTTTACCCACTTTTTGGGGCTTATATTGGAGTCGAAGTGACGTTCTCTTATGCTCTTGCTTTTTGTTTATTTATACAATAATTCGTTTAATTTGTGTCTCTTGTTTAGCTTCGAATGTGGACGACTATTTGCCCCCAGCCGCGCCCAGATCTTGAACGGTAATTAAGGCGCCCACGGGGCCGCTGAGACCGCAGCAGGCCCAGACCTACGACCGCCCTTGCCCGCTCTGTTCCGTACCCGTCCCTGGCCATGCGGCTCTGCCGTGTGCATGCGACGGGGCAATCTAATCTTGACATTTGTTGACTCAAATTGGTTAACATGTTGACACTCGACTTGCCTCGCCTGCCCTCCCATACCCCATACCCCACCCGTCGCCCCCTCCCCCCACTCTCACTGATAAGCAGCAACTAATGAAGCTGCCTCCCTGCCGTCCTTCTTATCAGCTCTTTCCGCCGGCCCATGCTTGCCCACTCGTCTATTCTACATAATTGATATCGCTGCTGGCGACCTTCAGCATGCAAATGAATTACTCAACATGTGTGTGCCCAAGCACCACTAGTCTGTCCATTCACATTGTCCATCTGTCTGTATGTCTATCCGTCCGTCCGTACGTTCGTCTGGCAGGTCATCACCTTTGAGAAATGCTCTCTGGGTTCATTTGGTTATCAGACGTGAGGGCAGAGATCGCCGAGGTGTTATCGCTTCCCAGACTTGCTCTCATTAGCGCGACACGGTCCGAGTTGCAAAGTTCCATTTCTGAATGTATATTATGTACGCATATACCCTAGGTAGCAATTCGCTAAAGGGCATATATCTATAGCCAGAGCGATATGATAGGAATGCAATTTTATATAGTAACAAAATAATCTTTCCAAGAATATTTCAAAAACGGTATTTGAAGTTTAATCAGCTTTAACTACGAGACTTTTCTTTTGTTTAGGGTATTTCAAAGTCGTTAAACTGAGGCTTTTTTCATTGTTTTTCCATGCGATGTGTAATCGCTTTTCCTACATATATATATTTGAGTTCCTACTGTAATCGACAGCTAGTAAATTTCCATGTATAGACACAACAAGACGAACACACACACACACACACACTGAATGAGATATTATATTGGAAATATAAAAGAAGAAAAACGAATCGAAGACGCACAAATTGTTATTGACGTGCAAAACGATTTGTTTTGCTTGAGGCAAACCCAACTGGAACTGGCAGCAATAGGAAACCCGGAAAAGTAGTTCTTAGCCGGACTAAGCCGCAGTGGAATGGAAATTTCAATGGCTCTGGCGAGGCTCACCTTGAAGCGCACATTGCTCGTCGAGTCTGAATTGGCGAGCGACTTCTCCGAGGGCGAATTGCGACTCACAAATGCCGTTACATGATTGCCAGCAATGGCGCCGCTGGCGCTGTACATGGCCGAGCTGGACTCCAGGGACTGCGTGGCTCCAGACTCCGAGGTGGCAGGTACTGGGGGGCCGCCCTCGGCCTGGCTGCTGTGCTTCTCGCAGCAGCCGGCACAGATTTGCACCATGCCTGGAGAATGCAATTTCATTAATTATCATTCATATTTCATCTGCGCCGACTCACCCTGTGGACTGATGGGACTAGCATTTTTGAAGGGCTTCATGGTCTTGATGAACGGATAGTAGGGCTCGCGTTCTGTGTTGGGACAGCAGTAGACCAGTCGCAGCTGCGAGGAGGGCGTATCCGTGCCGCAAGTGTAGCACACAAAAGTCGTCCGCTCCGTCACTGGCGCCGGCGTCGAGCGCTTGCGCAGCATATACGACCGTTGCGACTCCGGCGTGTGAGCAGCCTGAAATGAATACAGGATGAATACATTAATATTTGTTATATTTGGATTAGAAATATATAAATGAAATGCATTAATACTTATTAAATTGAAATAAATATAACTTAACATAATTAATTAATATATAACATACTACTGAAAAATAAACGAAATGCATTAATAAAATTAATTTATTATTAATTTAATACTTATTAAATTTGTATAATAAATATATATCGTATATATGTATATATATATTTATATAGTATATCATATTCATAATTAAATGAGCTAAATCGATATAGTCAACGTAAGTCAGCTGCTTGCAGGGTATCTATTAGTTTGAATCTGTTCAACAGACAGACTGAAAACTTAAAATCTTAATCTTTAGTCGCATTTAATAAATATATAACATTTTAATAATTTACAATATATAAATAGTATATAATGCCCTTAATCATCTTATTTCGTCGTAATTATTTGATTTTTCGCATATTTATAGGGTATTATACCGTGAAAAAGTTGAGGTTGAGTCGCACCAATTGTAATATACAAAATTTATCTAAAATCTTGTATTAAAATAGTATATAAATCATTAATAATAAATCTTAATACCCTCAAAAAATTTTCTACACAATACTGCACTTTACAGGGTATCTACCAACTATAATCAGTCCAGCAGAAATAATAAAAACATCTTATTCCGCATCTAACAAATATACGTCAGTTTCACTTTATTTATAGCAGTTAATTTCCTTCATTTATAGTGTTTAAAAATTATAGGGTATACAAAATATTAAATTGTTTACACCAAATAATGATTCAGGTAAATCATCATCTTACTACGCAGTTTACAAGGTATATATCAGTTGAAATCATTCGAACAAACAGAATTGAGTTATCTTAGTCCACATCTAGCAAATATACATAAACATAATAAACAACAAAATCTTCACCCCCTACGTGCGACTTCGTAGTGCCCTTTTTAGTATATTTATAGGGTATACAGTTTATAAATAAACAGAAAAACAATCTGAACTCACGCCACTTGAGGTGTGAAGTGCAAATATGAGAGCGTGGCTATTTAAAATCGTTTACCGCACTTGCGAATTCTAGCGTACATCAGTCAAAATGGGTCCGTAATGTCTATGACTCAGATTAGTTATCTATTTGGTAGCTGTTGCTATAGTAAAACAAATTCATAACTGTTTATTTTTTGTACAGCTCGCAATGCAATGAATCAATATTATTGCAGCTATTAACATTGAAAATAGAATTAAGTTGAGCTCTTTGGGTATTCCCATTGCAAAGATCAAGTCATAAACCATTTCATGACCTCAAAACAAAATACTCAACACATCAATTTATTGTTAGTAAATGAGTTTTTGAAAGCAAAACAATGCTGAACTAACTCCATCTACAAGCGGAAATATCCAGCATCCGAACAGACATGATATAAATTATTTCATTTAATTTCGTTTCATCTATAATGTCAGCATTGCTTGCATTTTTACCAAATTGTATGCTATAATAAATCAATCTTCAAGTACTACAATAAAACATTTCCTTAACACCAAAAAAAAAAAAAAAAAACAAACAAAAACAAATTAAAAATGGTTTTGCTAATAACCTAAACAAGATTTACGAAATATAAATGAGTGTTAAAAAGATAAAATATAGCTACAAACTGATTGATTTATATATCACATTAATTAAAATTATATAAAAATATATATAGAATTGAACGAACATTAAAATTTGTTTTGTAAACACGAATCAATTTGAAAACTATTTAATTTCTTGGTATATTCATATAGGTCATTAAAAGTATATATATGATTCTAGCTGTATATATATGGTTTTATAAACATATGATTTTATATCGTACTATAGGCGAAGCACTGCGTATAAAACTTGGGAATATAGAACATTTTCCTAGTTTTAACCGTTTAATCTTTTAGAAGAAGAAGGCTACACAAAAGTATATAGACATATACAAATATACAGTAGAATACCGATAATTCGAAATAACAAGGGGATCTGTTTTCATTTTCAATTTTCACAGAAATTCATATTATCGAAAATTATTGAGAACGAATTTCTTTCAAGGGGATCAATTTTTTTTTCGATTTATCGCGATTATCGATTTAGTGGGGTAAGAACTATCGAGACTCGACTGTATTTGTTTATATTGTTTAACAGACAACTATATGGTAGTAAAGTACAAAGCTCTATTACAATTTAGGTAAGCTAAAAAGGCAAACAGATTTTAATGAAGTTGAAAAGCTGAAAATGCGATAAACCAAATCAAACGAGTGACAATCATTTACAATTTTTATGACAAGACGCGAATCGATCATCAATCAGTTGAGTAGTCATCATCATCAAACTTTAGCTGCTCGTGGCAATAAAACCGATAATTTATGGTTTTTAGGCCTACAAATTATGCCCTTAACTCAACTTTACGGCAAGGCAAAGCGAACTCTGAACATAATCCTTAACTGTTTAGCTTAGGCTCTTCGTCTAATTGAATGTATGTTGATCATATGAGCGATAAACATCATCAGATTGTTACACACACACACACATAGAGACGAGCACCCGTTGCTACTTAAGCTGCTCATAAGCATCGTCAAATTAATTCGCATGGCCTGTCCATCAGCATATGACAAGAGCCATTTGATATATTACGTATACGCTCAAGTAGCTCCCATAGAAACAGACGTATCTACCTACATGCAAGTATGTCTCTGTGTGCGTGTGTGCGTGTATTTGTGTTTATTTATATATGTTTACTCTGTTTATTTGTTCGCAAATCCTCCACTTTGCTCAAATTGTATCTGTGCCAAGCATATATATATATATTCATACATAAATATCAAATGTACATATCTCTCTATACAGAGACAGTGAGACAGTCAGACAGACAGAGTTTCGTATCTGGGCAGCTGTCTGCCGTTTCCAGTCGTATCTGGTTAAGACAAACACGCAAACTCAACCGGCATTCATTTATTTTATTAGGCACTAAGCAATTTAATTGTTTGTTTACTTTTCTTATTTCCATTGTGTGTCAGATTTTTTGACATTGATATGCGCGCATTTTTATTACACAACTCGTCCCGGGCACGACTGACAGTCCATGACACACACACACACACACACACATTTTGAATTTCCCCCTCTGTCTGTGTGTGTGTGTGTGTGTGTGTGCACATATCAATCTGGACAGCGTCAAGTCATCCATATTTATTGATCCGACGCCGAGCGGTCAAATGGCGTCGCCTGCGCCGTTGGCTTCTGTTGGCGGCACTCTTCACTCTCCCGCTTCCGTTCCCGCTCCCCGGCTCTCCCATCTTTGCCCTCTATCCGCCACTCACAATACTTTGGCTCTCTGCGTTCTCCCTACCCCTCCCCTTGCCCTTGCTCTTTGCTTAAGCGGACACGTTCGTCATTTTTCGTGCGCTCTGTTTTTTTATGCTCGTTTTTCATGTTCATTCGTTTCATTTGCTGTCCCTCTTCCACTTGTACACAGCTGCCGCACATTTTTTTGCAGTTGTTGTTGCTTCGGTTTCCATGTTGCTGTTGTTCTTATTGTTGTTGTTGCTGTTGTTGTTGATAAGCATTTTCAAAATGGGGGTCATGACCGTTTAATAACTTTATGCGAAGAGACTTTTTCTCTTCTCTTTTTTCTGGTTATAACTTTTGTTTCGCCTTTTGTTTGATTGCTTGCTTGTTAATTACAGTGCCAACGTGAGAGCGACAGAGACAGAGACATAGAGAGATGGGCGTTTGTTCTTGAGTTCAAACTTCAAGAAAAAAGTATTTTTTTACGAATCTAAGCTGATTTGTATTTCTCTTTATATGTATATAAATTTTTTTTCTTCATTTAAATTATATAAAAAATAAAAATAATATAAAATAAAATAAAAAATATAAATAAGAAAACAACAACTTTTTCGTTAATGTATTACTACTATTACGTTAATATATTACCATTAAATTTCCCATTTAAAAATAGAATTATATAAAAAAAAAACTCCCAGGCATTTATTAGATTTTATTATATCTCGACTATAATAAACAAATTCAGTTTTATCTCTACTCTTAATGTTTTTTTTTTTTTTTTTTTTCGTATTGTGCAATTGCTCTATCTGAATTTGAATTATTTTTGCAATTCTCAATGCCAACAGCAACATGTTCTATGCATTTAGTTATTTATTTATTTACTCGATTAATATGCATCGATGTCAGAGCACAATAAATTTACTTGTTGGAAATTTGGGTCAATACGAATACGTTTTATTGCCTCTATTGGCATGGCTAATAGATCGTACAGTTCCATACTTGATACAACAGTAACATCCAATCGTTCATTTGTTAATAGATATTTGTAATTATGCCAACATTCTCCACTTATCTCATAGATTGCGTTATCTATTAACGCTAAATACACAATGTATTATTTATTCGATACGCTCAATATGATAATATTCTCAATCATGTACATATGTATATGTATGTGAATTGTAGCAGAGCTATAGGAAGTTCCCAATCAAGTTGCGCAATCAGCAATGATTGCTTCCGTTCTCAGAGTTATCTACGATCTGGATTTTTCTCTAGCCACTATTAAATATTCATTGAATTTAAAATGAAGTTCTATGCATTGAATATTCCTATGAAAAAGCTTTTGTAATGTTTTGAAAAGGTTTTTCTTGGTGAGTATTGAAAATGCGAATTGATTAATGAATATACGAATATATAAACAAATTTTTTTTAATAGCCTAATCAATAATTATATTGAAAAAATAATGCAAAATAAATAAATAAATAAATAAAATGAGCCTACATTAAATTAATTATAATAACGTAACTAGATTTCACAAAAACTTCTATAAACCTTACGAAACCTTGAATTTAGATTCGGGTTTTTTCAAAGAAAGTTTCGATTATCGCTCATCTGAGCTTTGTAAGACAAATTAAACATTTCTTTACAGGGTATCTCTAGGAGCATATTGAATTTCAAA